ATAACAGCAAAAAAAAAAAAAAAAAACATAAGGATGAAAAAATACCGCAAAAAAACCCGAAATCAACATAAAAATAAGCAAAAATTCATACTTGTTATCGTAGGAAGTTTCTGCTGCTTCACTGCTTGTATCGTTGTTTCGACTGATAAATCTGAAAAACAGGCATAAGTAGCGGAAAAAGATATTATTGGCCCATTTTGCATATTCGATTTTTCGAATTTCCTGGCCTATTTGGCCATATCAATAAATGCTTTGCTTCAATGCGTAGCCCACAATGGTATGGAAGTAATTCTACTATAAAAGAAAGAAAAAAAAAAACAAATTTTTTTCTCCCAAAAATAAAAATTATGCAAAATTTTGACGGTAATGGTTCGCGACTAGATCTTGCACGGAGAGGCAATGCTGATTTGGGAAAACCTGTAAGGCAACATCTATCACAATCAAAAAATCTCTAGGTAGAACAATTGCAGCCTAAGTGGTAATGCTATAATGGGCCAAAGTCAAATATCAAAAATTTTGCCGAATTTGTTCTCTACAAGAGGCAAACGGGTCCGGAAGTAGTAACTCACGATACTTGCCAACAGCACCTTTCAAAGGTTGAAGAGAAAATATCAAGAAAAGAAAACAAAGAAAACGAAGAAAAGGGTAGTAAGATGGGGAAGGGGACTGAGGAAATATAAATAAATAGGTAAGAAATTTCCCGATCCATCAAGTCGTATACATTTCTTACCGTTACCACAATCCATTGCACGGCTTTACTGTTATTTCCCTTTTTCGATGACCGCTTATAAATACATCAGACCTGAATCCCCCTTCCCTCTTGTCCCCTAATATACGGCAGTATCAATTTACAATCGAAAAAAGAGCACCAATTTATCATCGAAACGAATGAACGAAAACTGCATCGAGGGATTAGCTATCCATTACTGGGCTTGAAATTTCGATTTTCTTCAAAGACAACAATTCTATCCTTTTACTGTACCATGTATTGTCATCGGTATTTTACAAAAATTTATTTCTGAAACCAAAGCTCCGCTAATCTCATTTCCCGGCTGACGAGGTCCAGTCGCAGTGTTGAGTTAAGACGTATATGAATTAATGGACCGAAATTTCTTATCTCACTCTCTCCATCAATCTAAACCTTTATCATCTGCACTGTCAGGATTGATCTGGAGGCTGCAATCTGCTTAACAGAAAGCATGATTTTCTACCTTAGTAAATGTTCATTATTCCATAACCGGTTCCTTCCAATGCGTGTGTTGTACGATTTCGCTCTTTCCTGCCTATTAGATGGCACCGTTGTAAAATTTTCACTTGTGAGATCGTTGTTTTTCTTCGAAGATATCACTTCCTCCTACAATAAAATACACTCAAAAGAACTGAATACAGCAAAACAAGCACTGCAAACTCCAAATCCTGTCACCCCAATCACCCGAGAAGCAAATTTTCCATTGACCAACAGAACAGACATAAACCACAGCCCCACAAGAAAGTCTCGCTGCTCACTCGATTACACGAAGACTACGTGGCTCGTCCACCCAGAGGCTGAGTTTGAAATCTTTGAGTTCTACGTGAACGGGGGGCATTCCCTCAAAATTTTAGCTTTCCAGCTTTTCTGGTTCCCAAGCTAGCCGGCCAAGCACCCTTATCTCGGAGCGGAGCTGCCAACAAACTAGATATTTTCTTGGCATGGAAAGAACTTCGTGCATACCCAGAAGACGCTCAGACGCGTTTTTGTTTGGTTATGTCTGTTAGTACAAATCACCATCAACTTAATAGGACATAACGCAATAATGGTTGTAAAGCTATGCATAAAATGTGACAAGTCCGAGAGAAAAGCTTAAAGAGGATCCCGATAATTATGACTGTTAACGAACTGTAGCGGCGATTCAAAAGAAAACGAAGCTTGGAGCTATGTGAAAAGGAAATATTTTACCATTTTACAATGGTGGTTTCTAAGAATGAAACCGTATTCACGATTATTTCTAACCCAATAACAACACTCTCTGATTAACAGTTATGAGTGAAGCAAGCTGGATTCCGAAGTAATTACAGCATCACAGGCTATGCTTATATTCTTTTTTCCCGTGACCGATAAAAGAGAACATAACATTTCTTAAGCAGTGTCCTCAAGCATTCACCAACATCCAACCAAATATTTTGCTACTCGGCTTTCCGAACAGCCAGGCCGTCAACCCAGAATACATTCAGCACGCGATCTCGCCGAAAAAAAATTGCGATGTATTTTGCTTCCGGTACCGCGTATGAACGTGTCGATGGATCGAAGGAAC